TTTTTTCGTCCGGGGCTTTTTTTTAAACGCCCGCAATAAATTTGCCGGAAATACGTTATATATCCGGTAATTTACCGAAAGCTTTAACCGGAACGCCAAACCGGTTAACCCAACCATTTTTAAAATTTAAAAAGGTTTCAACCATTTGTTCGATAACTTTTTTAACGGCCTTTTTATTTTAATATTTGCCGTACTTAGCAATACTTAATTGCTTACCCCGAAAAGCACCGGGGTCCTGCTTTTGTTATAATACTTTTTGTACGTATTATTTGCTTTTTTTATTAATTTTTTGGTTTGCTTTTTAATTGCTTCTAAAGCCCCCGCTTTAATTTTGGCCGTTGCTAAAGGTTTTTTTTAATTATTTAAAAGTTATAAAACTTTTGTAAGTAAAACTTTATTAACAAAAACGCCGGGGTTTTTTGCAACCCCGAATGCACGCTCGTATTGTGCATTTACGTTACCAGGTACAATAGCAATGCTTAATCGTTTTGCTTTTCGCAGCAAAAGCACCGGAAATAATGTTTTATTGCTTAATTCGTTCGTTCCGTTTGCCCGTTAGTTTAAAAATGGTATGTTATTAATAGCTTTTTTTTCAATTTTTAAATATTTGGTAAAGGTTATTTAAAATTTGTTTGTAAATAATTTGTTCCGGTTCGATATAATCCTTTTGGGCGTTTTTAATAACCTTTAAACGTATGCAAACAAAAAGTTCCTTAATTTTTTATTGGTTAATTTCGTAAACGTTGGAATAAAAAAGTTATATTTAGTAAATTGGTTAATTATTACCAATATTACGTTGCGCTTTTTGCCGGTTTTATTTACTAACGTTAGGAATTTTTTAATAAAATTTATTAATAACTTTTGTTCTGGGCAATTTGGTACGGGCAAAAGTGCTAGCAATCCGTAAAATGTTTATATTTTCGGGTTTGTTTGCTGGTATACTTAATACGTTCGTACGTATTTGCGTACATTTTTAGCTATACCCGGCCATTTAAACTGCTATTTAAACTTTTTTAAAGTTTTAGCTATGCTTTTGTAACCCCCCCGTTAAGTTATCGTATTATTTCCAAAGCATTGCCCGTTGTAATAACGCTAAATTTAAAATTTAAATTTTCTTTTTATGCTTAAGCAAGCCGTTGTTAATTTTTTAAACGTTAAGTTTGTTTTTTTAAATACCGCTTTAAACGAAATTGTTTTTTGCTTATGCTTTGAAAATGCGCTTTAATGTTGTTTTGGTGTTTTTTTTAATGGTGGTTATCCTTACGTAAGCTGCTTTTCGGAATTTAGCTAGCAAATTGCTTCGGAATTTTTCCTTTGCTATATTGGCTTTCCCGTTTACGGGCATGTTTTAAAAACGTTTTAATAAACCATTTGCGGAATTTCGGTATTTTGGCTTTTATTTAATCGTAAAGTTATACTTTGCTAAATTTTTAAACCATTTTATTTAGCGCTTTATTACTTTTTCTTTTATTAAAATATAAATATGGTTTAAATGGTTAGTAATTATTTTAATAATTTTTTGTAAGTAAGCCAGGTAATGCCGCTATTTTTTAAAGGCTTTTACGATTGTTAGCAATTTCGAATCGGGAATTGCGTAACGCAGCTTTCTTTATTGCAGCTTTTTCGATATGTAAATTACCGGGTGTTACCGGCCGTTTTGCAATTGCAATAATACCGCTTTTATTGCAAAAGCCAAAGCGTTGGTTCGCACGCATAGCGGTTTCGAAAGGTCGAAATGCATTAATACCGAAACTTTCGTAAATAGTAATTTTAATTTGCAAAAAACCTTTTTCGCAATATTTTTTAAATAAAATACGGTATTTTTGCTAAAAAGGTTTGTTAAAAGCATAGTAATTTTTGCGTAACCCTTTACGAATTTCCAATAATACCCCGTAAAGTTTAAAAATATTTAAATGTTTTTAACGCTTTCCGGTATTTTTTATTTTAAAATTGCAATAATTTTATCCGGCAGGATTTCGATTTTAAATTTGGTTATTTTAAAATTTAAAAAATCGATGCTATTCGTTTCAAATTTGCATTTAACCGGGCTAACGTAAAGTTTGTATTTTTTAAATCGTTTTAATACCGTTTTTATTGCTTTACGGTGCTTTTCCCGTATTTTGGAAAAAATAAGGATATTGTTTAAATACATAATGCAAATGCTATTAATTAATTTCCTAAATGCTATATTAATAAAGTTTTAAAACGTTGCCGGTGCGTTAGCCAAACCGAATGGCATTACCAAATATTCGTAATGTTTATATTTGCAACGGAAAGCAATTTTCCATTCGTTTTTTTATTTAATTTGTATTTTGTAATAAACGTTTTTTAAATCCAATTTGGTAAAATACTAATTTTTAAATACCCGGTTAAATATTTTGTAAATTAGCGGAAATGTTAACCGGTTTTTTTTGGTAACTTTGTTAAAACTTTAATAATTAATATAAAAGCGGAACTTTCCGTCCTTTTTTAAAACGAACAAAATTCCGGCGCCGGCGGGGTTAGTTAAATGCCGGATCCAACCTTTTGCTATAGCTTTATCGAAATACCCCCGAAAGGTTTTTAATTTTTTTTTGGATAAAGGATAAATGCTTTTGTAAAGCGGCATCGTTTTTTTTTCCAATTTGATTGCGTGGTTTTAGCTTGTATGTTTTAACAAAAAGTTCGATTTATAAAGTTACGCATATTTTGCAATTATTTTTTTAACCCATTTCGGGAAAGCTTTTAACCCTTTTCCGGGGTTTTCCGGGGTTTTCGAACGTGCAACCGTTAATACGGTTATTGCTTGTTCCAATTGGATTAACTTTTTAGCTATTTCCAACGAAATTATTTTAACCTTTTTGGTAATTACCAAAAACCTTTACTTTATATCCCCAAACCGGATCCTAATGTTTTTTTGCTAAAGCTAAAATATGCTTAACGTAATGTTATACCCGGCCCGGGGCATTATTACGTAAAATACCACTAATTTTAAAATTATTCCTTAGTTATCCGTTGTTTGGGTTTTGCACTTTTTTTTTCCTTATATAAGCATGCGCTTTTTGGTATTAAACCATGCCAAATGGCCCCCGTTTAGCACCGGTATTTTTTTTGCTTTTATTAATAAATGGCTATGCATTAAGTTAACGTTATTCCTATTATTAACCAATGCTTTTAGCTTTACCCAGCAACCGTTAATTCGTAAATACATTTCGGTTTTTTAACGCGTTTTAACCGCTAAAGCGCACTTTTAAGCTCCGGTGCCCAAACGGTTAAATAGCGGTATTAAATTAAATAGCGATATTTTGCTTTTTTTAAAGCACGCCGGCCGGATATAGCTTAGCTTTTTATACCCGTAACACCGTATTTCGGGCTTTTTTCCTTTTGCCTTTTATGTAATTGTTGGGGCCGACGGGGTTTCCGGGTTATTCGTTCGTATTTTGCATGCTGCAGCAATGTAACCCAATTGCCCGCATTTAAAGCAAGTAACCGGCTTTTTAAAGGCTGGAATATTTATATCCTTCGGGGTTTTTTTGGATTATTCCAATATTATTTCGGCTTTAAAAGCTTTGGTTTGCAAATTTTTTATCGTATAAAAAAGGCCGCCAAGCGTTACCCGTTTTTAAATTTTAAAGCGGAGCCGGTTAAGTAACAATGTCGTTTTCGTCCATTTAAACGCTAATTCGGAAAGGTTATTTTTTACCAAATTTTAACGAATCCGGAACGCTTCGAACAATTTATGCTTTTTTTGCTTAATAGCAATATCCCCCGCAAGCTTTTTAATTGCTTGCTACATTTGCAAATTGGGGTTTTTCGATTTTGCTTAAAGCTATTGCAAAAAATCGGTTTAAATAAGCGATACCCCGGTATTTGGGTAATGCATTTGCTTGTATTTTATTTATTGCGCCCGTTAACAATGGTTAAAAATGCTAAAAATTATTTAAACCTTTATACGGTTTTTACCGTAGCGTTCCTTTTTGTTTTCGAAAATAAATTCGTAATTGCTAATATAATGGGCAATATTTTGTTAAATTGCCGATTTTTTAAGCATAAAAAGCTTAAAGGTAATTTTGCTTTACGTAAAACCTTTCCGTTGTTTAAAAGTATTTTTTTATTTTTATTTAAGCTTTTATACGCATGCTTTAACTTTTTATTTTGGATTTTTTGGATTAAACGAGCGCGCTTGCTTTAAGCTTCCAACGTATTGTTTATTTTTTGCAATTTTTTTACGAAAAGGTTTTCGAAATCGTTGGAAATTTGCGGGGCTTTTTTAATATTTTGTTCCGGTAATTTAACGGCCTTTTCCAATGTGCTTAACGTAGCGTTAAGCGTTATTATAAGCGGTGCAAAGTTGCAAATGCCTTTTTTAAATTTGTTCGATCCCTTTCGATAATTACCCGGGCTTGCTTCCTAAATAAAAAAGGTGTAAAAAAAGGAATAATATATTAAAGGTTAATCGGTGCAAAAACGGGTAATTACCGGGTTACGGGCCGGATACGGTATTTCCTTTATTAAACTTTCGTAAATTTTTTACCAAAAGTGCTATTGCTAACAAAAATTGTTCTTTTTTTAACTTCCTTTTTTTTCGTGCCTTTTTGGGCACCCGGGGTCGGTTTTTTAAATTTTCCGCGCTTTAAGCGCTTTCGTGCAATTTAAGCTTTACTTTATTTTTTAACTTTGCCATTATGCTTTGGCCGCAATACCGGTAGCTTGCCGGCATGTTCCCGGAAAGGTTTGTGCCCGGTTGGTTGCTAGCGCCCCTTTTTTCCTTTTTTGCCGGGTGGTTTCGCCCGTTTTTTTAACGCCCCCCGCTTTTTGCCGGGCGGTTTTGCCCGTGCTTTTAACATGTACGCCGAAATAATTTAAAAAGCAACAAGCGGAATAGCGACCAAAGCATTAACCGGATTTTAAGCAAGCGTAGCTTTTTTTTAAAAATAATTAGCGAAATTGTTAATTTGGTTTGGAACCGGTTCCGGTTAAAACTGGGCTTTTTTATTAATTTAATTACTTTAAATGTTAATTTTGCTTTTGTTATTGCTTTGTTCGGACCTTTTTTATTTTTTAAAGTAGCGGTTTTTACGGTTACCGAAAAGGTTTTTTTTTCGTACTAACCATTGTAATTGCAAAACGATTTGGAAAAGTAAGGAATATTTAATCGAAACGTTAACAAATTGCAAAATGGCAAGGTACGGAAGTTAAAAAAGTAGGGTTTACCGGTTTAAATTTATTAAATTGCAAGCGAAATGGGAAAAGTGCTTTTTATAAGCGCAAATTTTATTCCTAAAAATTATAAAGTTATTTGTAGGTATTGTTTTTTATTAAAACGATTTTTTAAATAACCTTTCGCTGCGCTAAAATTTAAGTTTACACCATTTTTTTTATTATCCTTTGCATTAATTACTTAACGCTTTTAAAAGTACAAAAATGCTTTTTCAAAGCGCACATTTATTTTTTTTTTTTCCGTTTTTATTTACGACCTGCATAAGTTATTTACTTTTTAAATAAAAGTTCGAATCCTTAAATTCGATGTTTTTTTTGTTACAAAACCTATATGTTGGGGCTTTCGGAAATCCCGGTAATTTCCGGATTAAGCCTTTCCTGTTTGGAAAAATTTATTTATCGCCCGCGCACAAAAAAAGAAATGCTAATATTGGAATAGCATTTTTGTGCGCGTGTAATCCGGAAAAGGAGGTTGTTACAAATGGCTTTAGGATCCTTTGGGTCCCGCACGGGCCAACTTTATTTGCTTTAAGCAAAGCAGGGAATTACCTTTTAAGTAATTGTTTTTAAGCATATAACGGGCAATCCTGTGCCTTTTTTTTGGTAAATAAATTTTTTCCTTTTTGTGCACAATAATAGGACTTTTCCCCAGATTATAAAGATTTTTGTTTACCCTTTACAGGAAATTTCCGAGCCGTTAACAGGAGTACCAAACTCTTACCAACAAAATTCGATATTAATATTATTAACGGTTTCCGATACTATTTTTTAAACGGCGTTTTTATTAAATAAAGCTTATATAATTCGAATCGCAAATATTAAAGCGTTTTGAATCCCATTAAAAATAGGTTTTTTTTAACGTAAAAGGGCATAAATTGCTTAATATTCGTTATTTCCATTATAGCCATAATATTAATTAAGCCGTAATTAAAGTAACCCCGAAGCTAACGGTTAATTTATTTAATATCCTTTTTAAAAACTAGGAAAAATATTAACGCTATAATTTCGATTTTAAAAAAAATATGGATTTGGATAGCGAAAAGCCCCGTAAAAAAGGTAAAAGGCTTAAATTTAATGCAAAAAGCCTTAAAGATTCCCGTATAATTAAGCCCCGTAAGCTCGGCAAGCTATTAAATAAATTTATTGAAAAGCTTATTTTAAAGGACATTATTTTATTGAAAAAAGGGGCTTCCCAAGCAAGAAATCCGTTGCTTAAGCCTTTTTTTGTAAGTGAGGTACAAGCGGCCCCTTTTATTAATATAATTTTTAAAGGCTTATAAAAGTTAATTAACGGCTGGGTAAGCTTAAAAAGGGATATAATAAAAGGATGTGGTAAAGATTTAGCTTTAAAAGCGCTGCTTTAACATTGCAAATTAAAGTATATTGGCTTAGCTTTGCTAAAAAAAAATTGTTAAAATTATTACCGGTTTTTTTAATTTCGATAAAGTTAAAAGGTTGCAATGCGTAATATGCGCTAAAATTATAACGGTATGGAAAACCAAAAAGGGCCCGTTACCTTTACTGGATAACGTTTTAAATTCGATAAAAAAGGATATGGTTATTTTATCCTTTATACTATACAATAAAAAACCCGTAATTTTTATGTTTGTAAACCGTAAATTAAAATATAAGTGGATTTTTTAATTGCTTAACAAGCATGGCCATGTAATGTACGTTGCTATAAAAGCTTTTTTTTAAAAGGCTAAAAGCAAGCTACGGGCGGTACCTTAACAAATTGTTTTTCGATAAGGGTATAAAGGTTAATACGGCGTTAAAGCAATGGCTTAAACGTAAAGGTACAGCATTTAATACGTTAAACC